TGTTTCCAGGCCCGGAAGTAGATTGGTGGTATTACCTATTACAGCTTTTTAGGAAATGAACAAATTACATAATTACACATAAAGAAATTGTGGATGACGGTATAAATAGGTGTTTCTAAAGCCATAGAAATGTTTTTCAATGTTTAATCATCCTTATAATCACAATGGTATTATTCAACTTTGTCCTGTTTATGAATAAATGATTTGAGAAGTAAAGATTAACCAAATTATCACCCATTTCATGTTAAAAATGGCTGAATCAATGAGGCTTTACTGTATTCCATTTAAATCAAATCAAATTCTCCTTGTTGAGAGATTATGGGTAACAGTGCACGTTGCTGTCACTGTCTAGTAACATGGAGTCATCAGAGCTTTGTCCCTCATATGCTTGGTTAAGGAGTCTTGAGGGGGGTGTGGGAGGTGCATGGGTGCTGTGGGTGATGCCTCCCCTATGACCAAGCACCTACTCAATTGTAGGAGTTTGGGATGCAGGCGATAGATATAAAGGCCTAAACTAAACACGAGGTCCGTTCAAACACAGAAGTCTATCTTTATACCCATGGAATAAGAAGGTGAAATGCATCCTATTCTCCCTCTAGGAGACATTCACTTTAAACAAATAGCATTAATGTCTTTTTCAAATGAAAGAAGATACCCACCCAGAACTGCCTTAGTCTTCCCAGGCCAGTGTCCTGTAAGCCCTTGCAACTTGAGAGCTTGCTAGAAATGAGAACCTTGGCCCCACCCCAGACCTGCTGAATCAGAATCTGTGTCTTAACCAGCGGCCAGGTTATTTGTACACCTGTTAAAGTCTGAGAAGTGCTGGAGTCTGCAGTCTAGACCCTAGCCACACTGGCTTTCACACTGTGCCTCAAAACACGGTTTGCTTTTGCTGTCCCAGGCTTTGCAGCACTGTTCCCTCTACCTGGACTGCTTTCCCGCTCTTCTCTATCTGGGAAATCAGAGCTAGTCCCTCCCCTACCGTGTGCCCATCCTTCATGGCACTGTGACTTAACTCTCTTTCCCTTTAGAATGTAAGTTAGTCGAGGGCAGGGCCCTCCTCATGCCCCAGGATCTAATGTGTTGACTGGTTCATAGCAGGTGATCAGTAAATGAATTCATGAATGCACAAACATACTGGTAGTCACAGTGAAAATTACTTAATTAAAACACACTAAGTAGGCCAACCCAGGAAGGCAGTGTTAAGGAAAACACTTGTTTTGTGGATTGAAAAGAGCATATGAATTTCTTAATATAATGCCAAAGGATGATGCTCATGGGGGAGTACATTGGAAAAGTACAACCAAAGAAACAGTTCCATGGTTGAGTGGAGAGGTGGGCTGCCTTCTTAGCTTTGGGGGTTGGAAGGATTTTGATGAGAGAGAAAGGCTCCAGGATGAAACAATATGAAGTGTTCAGAAGATCATCAATGAACCCTCCTAGCTCCTTGGGGAGCTAGGGCTGGGTCAGATTTCACAGGGCTTTGAATTTCAGCCTCACTAGTAGGAACCTCATTCTTCAAGTCAGGAAAAGCCACTGAAAATTTCTGAACAAGTTAGGACCAGGACAAGAGTATTGTAGAAAAAATTAATCTGGTTTTAGTGTACACAGTAGGCACTCAAACATGTGTTATATGAGTGGACTCTGGCAAGATACCTCGAACCACTCCTTTGGTGGAGAGAGTAGGAGGTATCGGGTGCTAGAAGTCCAGGAGGAAAAATCTCACAATGGGCAGTAAGTGAGATGTGAAGACCCTTGCTGTGTGCTCCCCATTGGGCTAGATCAGTGTTTCTTTTCTCAACCTTTTTAAGTTATCAGGCCACACCCCTACGGGAGAAAACTTAATTTCTCCCTAAGGAATAAGATTTTTATCAGATAGGGTTGAACTTTGGAAAAAGACCACAAACCATCATAATATGCAAGTTTTTCTGCTTCCCAAGAACCAATTTTTGCCTCACCGTGTGCAATATCACCCCCACTGAACTGAGGGTGCACGCGCCGGATGCCATGGGAGAAAGGTGAAGCAACGTGGCATCCTGGAAGAAACACCCATCTGGGGCTTGACATCTGGCCTTTGATTTCTTCTTGAACTCTTTATCTGTAGAGGTTGGATTCCCTCCATCTCTGAAATTCTGGTGCTAGACTGGGTTCTGCCTTCGGGGAATTTACAATCCAATTAGGGCGGTAAGACTGACTTTCCAAAAGTAGAGTCAAAGCCAGGGCGTATTAAAAGCAGGTTCTCCTGAAAGGAACTCTGGTGAAACGCAGTACTTTTAAAATTTAGATTGTTTTTGCCAGATCTCCCCCCAAGCATGAGCATCTTGGTCTTTATTATAGTAAACAGTTAAAGGATAAAGTCAATGCCAGCCCCTTAGATTTTTATCCGGTGGAAAGTTATTCCAAAATATGAAGGTACATCTTTTCCAAGTGGTTCTATTACAGCAGCTGCAGGCATCAGGAACCTGGCACCCAGAGTGCGGAAACCACCAATTAGCCATGGCAACCCGTCCTGGCTCACCCACCCTCGAGATCTGAGGTGTGCTGTGCTGGTAGAGCTTTGTTTCCCCTACTGTACCATTAGCATGAATTCTCATGCTCTTGCTGATGATCTGGCCTCTACTTACCTCCCAATCTTCCCATCTTCCTCCTTGCACATTGCTATTGTTTGTTTAATCCTCTGGCCCTACTCCCTACCTAAGCTATAAGCTGTGAGGGCAAAGACCAGGGCCATCTTGGTCACCATTTATTTAATGATAGAAATGGACAAATGGAGAATTGGTTTCCTGGCACAGATGTCTTCTGACATTGACATTTAGCTTACATTTCTCCTTCTTCCTCCCTTCTCTCTCTGACTGCCAACACTCAAAACCCAGCTCAGTCACCTCTTCCAGGAAGCCTCCCTGATGATCCAAAGGTGCTGGGGTTATATGGTGCTTTCCTCTAGGACACACGCTTGGCACAGTAATGGCCATTTCACGTTCCCAACTAGATGAAGTCTTTGAATACAGGACTACATGGGATATTGATGTACCAGTACAGCACCTCAGAAACAGCTGAGGTAGGGAAGATGCCAACAGTTACAGATTTCAAAATCTGACTAAAATCGGCTTGTAGAAATAAGGAAGTATATTAGCTCACCCTTGGGACAGTCACCAGAAGGACAGGCTTCAGGACGGGTTTTTCCAGTAGCTCAATAATGCTGAAGATTCAGATTCCCTCCTTCCCTCTGCTTTGTCATCCAGTGTTGGCATCCCCCAAGGCCAGATTCCCCAGTGGGTTGGGCTGGCTGTCAACAGCCCTAGGTACTCTGTACCTCCTCCTCATTCACCTCAAATAGGTAGATGAGAAAGCCTGGCTACTGTGGCTCTCAGGAGAGAAAACATTTTCTCAAAGCCTCCAGTAAAAGTCGTCTCTGTCTCATTGGCACTAATCACTAAGCAAAGGGAATGAGACACCTTGTGACTAACCAGGCCTATGCTGCGGGCTGAAACACATTTCTTGGCTTTGATTTTTGGTGTATTTCTAATGTTTACATTTAAAATATTAATACCTTTAACCAAATAACCCCCAAAAGGCAAAATGACCATGCTATTCATGAGATAATGAGAAGGTTTAATAAAACGATAATAATCCAGTGACCAGACAAAAAGATAAGACTCAAGTTTAAAGTAGTAATGAAAAGTGTCTTGAATTTTTCAGGTTCTATGTTTGATTTTATGTACATGGTAGATTGTTACAGTAGCGGACCGCAAATCACATGCCAATGCCATTGTGGATTACTCTCCCAGACTGGCTTGGGCTGGAAAGGGTGACTTGCTTTGGCCAACAGGACATTAGCATGTGTGGCATTGTAGAAGTGTATCAGGCCTAATGCTTTGGGACTCGCCCTCTGGCTGCCCTGAGACAGCAGTGGAAGAAGCCCGGGTGAGCCTGCTGGGAGGAAATCGAGATGCCTCTAATCCTTGCTGCTACTCCACGGGAAGGAGAAAGGAATCAACCACACTTTCTAAAGACACGTGGCGATGGGCTAATATTCATTGACTAAACCTTTCAGAAACCTGATTAACTGCAGCTAGAATAGCCTTTCCCTGAAGAGGCGCTCAACTTTGTTATAAAAATCTAAGACCAGTGTGACGACATAAGACAACAGAGACGTGATTTATTCCACATTTACCTTGACATTCTCTTGGAGGCATGTGATAATCCGTTTGTCAGAGAGCTGTCTCGAAGACTCAATCAGAAAGTGCCCGGAAGACCGTAGAGGCCTGTGGGGATCCAGCCCTCCCCAGACTGCTGTGAAGAGCCGCCACCAGACCGCTGGGTTTACTGGCTCGACTGGGCTTCGTGGCTAAGCACGAAGAAATCTCATTCGTGCCTGTTGACATTTTAGCAAAGGACAGCGCCCCAGAAGGGCCTTTCCGCAAATAGGCTCCTCAGCCCATTTTCAGTTCCAGCGGTTTTCACTTCAGTCTCCACCTTTTCCTGGGGACGGGGTGCCAGCTAAGGAGTGAAACCCCATTGTGAAATATACCATTGGACCCATTTTAGGCTGGAAGTGGGTCAGCAAGCTGGCAAGTGTGTATGTTCTCTCCTCGGGCTACTGTAGATGTTAGAGCCGTGGTCCCAGGCTCCCGCCCTTGGAATGCCTTGCATGCACTTGCACACGTAGGTGCGAAGTCACAGTTAGCCTTGGGAAGCCAAGAGCTCATCCGACCCATCTTTCATCCAGATGATCCCAAATGGTCCGTTGCCTTCTTTTTTGAGGAAAAAACAGATTGGGTAACACATCGCAGGGCCCCATCGACCTTTGTCAATAGTTCCTCCTTTTAAGGATTACCATTACAGAGAAGGGGTTGGTTACCTTTGAACATAAGATTCCTTATTTGTGGGACAGGAGGCTTCTTAATGCAGGGTTGTTATAGGACTGTGAATAAAGTACTAACACATAGTAAGAAGGTAGTAATACTAACCTCTAACTCCAGCTTAAGCATCTGAGTTAGTTTTTTTTTTTTTTTGCGACGTATAGTGATATTTGATAAATATCACTGAGGGCCACTCCAATAGCAATCCTTTATGCAAAACCTCGTTGGACCTACTGACTAGACTATGATGCAATTAATAGAAGAAAGAGAAGCTTCAGGACAAATTATGACTTCAGAAGAAGTTGTTGATCAAGGCCTCGTAAGGAACATTCATCATATCGTGGTATAATTCAAATAGCCCAAGTTATCTAGTGGAGAGCTTTTCAAACCATAAAAAAAAAAGTTTCATAGTCTAATGTTTTTGGAAAAGAATATCATCAATCTGTTTCAAAATTTGAGTTCAAATAATGTCAAATGGCCTGTGGCCTGTTGATACGGTTAAGGAAGAAAGAAAACTCCTATAATCTGAAAACAGCTTCTGTGTTTCAAACCAGGTCAACAAGAACACAGTGCTAGGGTGAGCAACTTCAATGCTGTCACCAGCCTAAGCAAAGGAGGTTTTAGCAGAACTGAACAATATAATGGATTGATCTACTTAGGAAAGTCCTCAGGCCTCTTCAGCATAATATTGCTTGCTGTTCAACCAAGGACCCTCTGATCTGCTAATCTATGACAAAGCCCATTAAAGATCCCCGGACTCTGGAATTCTGATGGATTTCTTATGTAGAAATTCCAGTGAAAAGGCTGTTGGAGAAACAGGTCTGGATTCTGGAATATGTTCCATTCTGTATTTTTCAATATATGGTGCAGCGACCTCCCAAACCTGAGAAGGATAAAACAGAGTCAGAATGTTGATGACATTGTTCTCACATGCCAGTAAACATCAGCTTCATCCAATCAAAACGTCTAGACCTGAGTAGGAACGTAGCAGCTGTTTGCTTGCTTTCATTATGAGCCACTTGACACATGATCTGTGTCAATTAGTCTTTGGTTGCATTAACAGCTTTCAAAATACAAAGTCCAAAGCCTTTCTAAAGTTTTCAGCTACTTACTCTTCGGAAGCAAAACAAGCCAACACACAAATGAAACCTGGACAATTCAGTGTGGACAGAATTAAGGAAAATTGCTCAGAGGTATGAATGTGTGTTTTCAAAAACAACCTTTGAATAGGCAATGGATTTCCTCATTTGCCGGGTCTCCATGGCGCATGTGCTCTACTCCTTACACTCTTTTTAAATTTTTTTAATTTTATTTACTTATTTCTGTGAGAGAGAGAGAGAGAGAAAGAGAGAGAGTGCACATGCACGAGCTGGGGGAGGGGCAGAGGAAGAAGCAGATTCCCTGCTAAGCAGGGAGCCTGATGCGGGACTTGATCCCAGGACCCCGGGATCACGACCTGAGCCGAAGGCAGACGCTTAACCGGCTGAGCCACCCAGGTGCTCTATTTCCTTACACTCTTACTGTTCCCGGTGTGACCTGTGGGCCAGCAGCATCGGCCTCCCCTGGAACCAGACCCCCAGGAGATTCATATGCACAAGACGGTGTGAGAAGCAGTGCTTCAGGCCCTTGTTTGCTCGGTAGCTCCACCCACCAGCCTATTCTCTTTCAGGCATCCAGTCTTCTCAGGTTCAGGTGCTGGTTTTGATTGACAGCTGCTTTTTATCAGCTTGCGGCTAACAACCAAGGAGCATTTCCTATCCTTTGTATTACCTTAGAAAGTGTATCCTTGCAAAGGCTAACTTCCTCAAAAAGATCCCTGCACCTCCACGGTCGTTGCTGCTTTATTTACGAACAGCCAGACATGAAAGCCCCCTGAGGGTCCACTGACGGATGTAGAGCCGCGCTCCAGCCGGTCTTAAGCATTCACCTGAGTCGAGGTAGCACACTTCTTGCTTGCTGACCTAAGGCCCTTGATGTGTAACAGTATTAATTGACTTTCTTTGAGATTTGCAGACCTCCGGCCTTGGGGAATGAAGGACCAGAACTTTCCCAGGCCCCAGAGGCCAGCTAGTCTGTTGGAAGCTGCCTTGGCTTTCTGATTAGCCCAGCAATCTTTATCAAAATGTTTTTCTTTTTTAAGGTCACACACATAAGTGAGTTTCCTTTCCCTTTGTACATCTGTAGCTCTGGCCCTCCTTTGCAGAAAAAACAGAACACTCTTGCGTCACCTCTGGGTACCAAGGAACCAGACCTCCTTGCTCAACTGACCTCCACCCCTGGGCACCAAAAAACTAGAACTTCTTGCACAACCGCCAAGCACCAAGATAACCCGGCAGCTGACATCACCAAGTCTGCACATCAGCAAGAAATGTCGCAGACCGATGTACTCCCTTAGCTGATTAAGCCCTTTAAATATCTCTGCGCCCGGCAGAAACCAGGAGTGGGCTTTGGGACAAGAGTCCACCTTCTCCCCAGGGGGCCCACCTCCTGAATAGAGCTCCTATTCCTTTCCCACCAAAACTCATCTCTTGAATACTGGTCTTTCAAGGGATTGGCAGCCGAATTTGGGTTTCAGTAACAGATGAACGGATAAAGACAATGTGTGTATTATTCAATCATAAAGAAGAAGGAACTCTTGGCATTTGTGACAACCTGAATGCCGTGAGGGCAGTATGCTAAGTGAGATGAGTCAGAGAAAGACAGAGACTGTGTGATCTGTATGGTATGTGGAACCTAAATAGCAGCAGCAGCAACAACAAATGGAACTCCGAGAACAGACTGACAGTTGCCAGAGGCGGGGGGCAGAGGGAGAGCGATACAGGTACACGGCGTCAAAAGGTACAAACCTCCAGTTTTAAAATAAACAAGTCCTGGGGATAGAATATGCAACAGGGGGACTAGAGTTAATAAGACTGTATTGTATATTTGAAAGTTACTAAGAGAGTAGATCTTAAAAGTTCTCGTCACAAGAAGAAAGAAATTCTAACTATGTACAGATGTTAACTAGGCAGTGTGGTGATCGTTTTGCAAAATACACAGATATCAAATCATTCTGTTGTACTCCTGAAACAAATATAATGTTATATGTCAGGTATATTTTAATTAATAAAAAAGGCTAACCCCTCACACACCTCTCTACCAGCACCAAAGTTGGCGGCACATGAGGGGCTTCCCCTCAAAGGGTGTAGGGGACAACTTAGGAATGACAGGTGTGAAGATCAAAGGGAAAAATCGTTCCCCAAGAGCAGAGCAATGGTTCCAAGGGAAATCAAGAAATTCTAGAGAACACGATACCCACAAATTACAACAAAAGGTCAAAGAACTTTAAAGAATATATTTAAAAAATGAGTCAGCCTCTGAGGCATCTGACTCTGTTGGATAAATCTATAGTCAATGAAGCCAGAGGAAATAAGCAGTAAAGAGAACCCGTATCTCACCCAGGGTGAGGGGGTAGGACACACCACAGCGCTAGACAGACCCACAGACCTTTGAAGTAAACCCTGGGGCTTTGTTTTGTCTTCAGGTCTGTTTAGTCATTGGGCCAGTTGGAGGTGGTGGTGATAGCATCACGGAAAGAGAACATGCTTTTGAACGAAAGACAATATTCTTGAAGGGGATCCATTAACCTTTCATCACATTTTCTCCCCCATGAATACCTGTCCCACACTCCATTTAAAGTCATTTCAGTTTCTAATCGCTAGATAGTCAATGTTTGGATGCAACATGGGACACTTAAGAGTTTATCAAATAGTGTTTTAGTTGCCTTGGAAGTTGCTTAAGTTCCTTTTTGTTCACGTCCAAGGAATAGACAGGAAACGAGAGTAAGACAATATTTCTTCAGTCCCCACTCCCACTTGGCTTTCCCATAATGACCCAAAACAAAGAAGTAAGCCAAGTGGCCAACTTACCTTCTGCTCTACAAGCAGCCTGTGAGCAGCCTCAATGTCTGGAGCCATGAAGCGATCTTTTATCCAGGGCCTACCGAGAAAGCACATCAAACTATCAGCCAAACATGAACTGCTGCCAAGGTTCACAGTTCTGAAATGATGTCACATCCAGGGACCTGTTGGACTTTACCTTACAACAGAGCGCACCAGGTCATAGACCTTCTCCAGAGGAGTGGTTGTTCTCAGGGGGCGTAGAAACTCTATGCCCTGGCAGGCTGCAAGAAGCTCGATGGCCAGCACTACAAGAAAGGTGGAGGGTACAGCTGTTTGAAGCTGACTTCATGCTGGGGGGATGTCACTCGCATGGAAGTTGACAGCCAACTCTAGCCAACTCAGAGGTGGTCAGTTCTCTGTCTATTTGTAAAATGAAGCTGCCTTGGTATTTGGTTACCATTTAAAATTTGCTTTTCTACCCCCTTGGCTGTATCTTAAATGTTGAGAAGGGCAGTGCTATCCAGGTAAATGTCTTAGTTCTCTCCTTCTTCCTTCGTTTGATCAAGATGGATGGCATCTGTGTCCTACTTCTACCTTTGTGTAAATGTCCATTTGTTTTTAGTCTTGCTGTTTCCCTTTGGCCTGAAATACCTGGCACATAGACTTTCATCAAAGGACTGAAGGAGTCAGTGAATGAGCAAATCTTCTGTTGAGCTGGATAATTCTATAATGTTCCTTTGAAGCCTTCAAACTCAGAGGCTCCCAAGCCCACTAAAACTGAAATTGTAGAAATGGGTATCTTACCAACTTTAGGTTTCTTGACAAAACAGTCTTTACCATGTTTTTTTTTTTCCCTAGTTAAGAACTCTTACTAAATGTACCATACCTTGCTATCAACTTTGAATACTGAAATCTAAATCTCTGTACATTTGGATCCCGTTATTTGCCAAGAAAATAATTTAGAAGCTTCAAGTTGATCAAACCATTCACATGGTCAACTGAAATGGAGTATTAAAAACATTTGACTTCTTAAAATTTATGAAGCACACTCCAAACTCTGGTGAGTACAGACAGTCACCGTGGGAGGGGATTAAGTAATGGAATCCATTTTGGACCTGGAAGAAACTTCACATCTTCTAGTGCAGTGCCCTCACTTTATGCATAAGGAATTGGAAACTTCAAGAAGTTGAGCTGGGGTGGACTGGGAAGACATCTGAGATGAAATCTGCACAGCTACCAAGGTGGAGTGAAAAAGTGAACTGCGTGAAGGCCTAGGGGAACACTGTGGCAGGCAGAGGGGCCAGCAAGGACACAGGGGCTGAGGTAGGGATGTGTCCTTGGCGGGTACAATAACACCATGGTTCTAGTGTAGGGAATGGAATGGAGAGAGGTGTCAGTAAGAGCCAGAAGCCAGATCACGCATGATCCTTGTAGGCTACAGGAAGGGGGCTGGATTTTGTTTTGAGCAGAAGGAAGTAATCGGCATATTTTCAGCAGGAACATGATGTGGTCAAAATTACATTTTAAGAACCTCACCCTGGTTATCATATGTGGTGACTGTAGAAGAACATTAGTGAAAACAAGACCAGTCAAAAGGAGATGAAGGAGCCTTGATTTGGTGTCTTTTGATGGTAAGGTTGATTTGCTGATGAGCTGGATAGAAGATCTGAGAACTGACAAGGGTGACTCCTTAAGCTTTTGGCCAGAGCAGCATGTTCAATGGGGACATTAGGAACACACGATGGTAGGCAGATAATAATAAAAAGTGTTGGTGAGGATGTGGAAAAATCAGAACTCTCAAACACTGCTGATAAGAATGTAACATGGTAGAGCCACTTTGGAAAACAGTCTGGCAGTTCCTCAAAAAGATGAACATAAGTTACCATATGACCCAGCAATTCCACTTTAGAGAAATGAAAATATACATCTGCACAAAAACTTGTACACAAATGTCCATAGCAGCAGTGTTCATATTAGCCAAAAAGTGGACAAAACCTGAACATTCCTTGCCTGATGAATGGATAAACAAAATGTGGTATAGCCATACAACAGAATATTATTTGGCCATAAAAAAGGAATGAAATGCTGACACATGCTACAACATGGATGAACCTTGAACACATTGTGCTAACTGGAAGAAGCCAGTTACAAAAAACCATATATTGTATGACATTTATATGAAATGTCCAGAATAGGCAAATCCACAGAGAGGGAAAGTACATCCATGGGTGCCTAAGCCTGGGGGCAGGGTGGGGTAGGGAGAATGGGAGAATGATAGGTCAAGGGTATAAGGTTTTTTTGGGGGGGATAAAAATGTTCTAAAATTAATTTGTGGTAGTGATTGCACAACTCTGTGAATATACTAATAACAACTGAAGTGTACAATTTAAATGGGTGATTGTGTGGTATGTAAATTATATCTCAATAATAAGAGCACTTAACTCTCCCACATGTATCTTAAAATACCTTAGTCCTTGCTTATCTGCTGTTTCACCTTCTGCTGTTTTGGTTGCTCACAATCAACCATGGTCTGGCAGCAGGTGAGCCTTCTGATGATTCATCATTTTCCTCTTTCTGACAATCATCAGAAAGTCAAGAGTAGCCTAAAGTTACCTCACAACACCTGCATCATTCTCCTCACTTCATCTTACCCCGTAAGCATTGTGTCATCCCACATCGTCACAAGAAGGGTGAGTAAAGTACAGTAAGGTATTTTGAGAGAGTTCACATTCACCTAACATATTTTAACATATTGTTATAATTGTTCTATTTGATTAGTTATTCTTGTTAATCTCTTATTGTGCCTGATTTATAAACTTTATCATAGTATGTATGTATAGGAAAAAACATGGTATACAAAGGGCTTGGTTCTACCCGTGGTATCAGGCATCCACGGGGGGGGGGGGGGGGGTCTTGGCTTGGAACATCCTCCCAGCCTCCATAAGGGGGGGCATTACTGTAGTGATATTCTTTTGTCATCCAACAGCTTCTGATACAGTTGCAAAAAGTTGGTAGCTTAGATAACAATGCCTAAAGGAAGGCAATTCATCTTTAAAAAAAGCAAACAAGCAGTAATTAAGAAGGCAGGGAGAGGTTGGCCTAATACAGCTCCACCCTAGAAACTTATCTACCGAAAGATATGGATCTGAATCTTGTTAAGTCTTCCACAACATCCAGAAAATGCAGGGGACAGAGATAACATGCAGAGAACAAGTTAAAAGTAACACCACAAGGAGGCTAAAAGGTAAATCCAGAAGGTCAGTCCCTAACAGAAGACTGACCTGTCTTTTTAACTAGTCAATAGCATGAAGAAAAAAAAGGGAGAGGGAACTGTTCTAGACGAAAAGAAGCTTAAAACTTTGACCACCAAATTTAAAATGTGAGCCTTGAATCCAGATTTGAACAAACCCACTATGCAGGCATTGAGATAACTGGGAAATTTTGAATATGTATTCAACGGTGATGCCAAGACTTACTGTTGATTTTTGTTCGATATGATAATGGCATCATGGTGGTTAAAAAAAGCATTCATATTTAAGGGAAGAAAATAATGTCATGGGATTTGCGTGAAAATAAGAAAAGTCAAGGAAAAAAATGAAGCAAATGTGCTTGTTGAGTCAGGGTATAGGAGGGTTCATGGTACTAATCTCTCCAGTTTTGAGTATGTTTTCAATTGTTTAAAAAATTAAGCCAACCAGTGAACCTGCTTAGACAGCAGGTGTGGTTCTTAATTTTCAGCGAGCTTCAGAATCACCTGGAAGACTTGTTAAACCCAGATGGTTCTGCTCTCTTCTCTAGAGTTTCTGATTTAGCAGGTCTGGGGCCGGGCCTATGAATCTGCCCTTCTAACAAGTTCCCAGGTGATGCCGATGCTGCTAGTAGGGATCCTCCGGTAGGGATCCTATGTTGAGGATCGCAGATGTAGTCGTTTATCAGTGAGGCTCGCCGTCCCAGACTGGCTGGGTTTACCTTGTTCCACGTGCTCGATGACCCGAAGGGCCTTCCTTGCTGCCCATCCTCCCATGGAGACGTGGTCTTCCGTGGCAGCGCTGGTGGAGAGAGAGTCCACAGACGAGGGGTGGCACAGAGCCTTGTTCTCAGAAACTGCAAGAGGCCAGTGCAAGGTAAGTATGCTGCTAATAGGAAAAATTGCCACGTTGGCTTCCCAATGTGTTCGACAGCATGGAGTTTCCTCTCCAGGAGCTCTTGGTTGTCATCGAAGCACCGGATGGTCCAAAGTTATTTGGGGAAAAGGAAACAGGTTGGGTATATATCAAATTGAAAAGGAGGGAATAGTGAGTTCTGAGGTAAGACCAGATAGGAACCCTATTACAAAGCCTCGTTGAAAACACTGGAAGCGTTTAGCATGCTGGGGAGAATAGGGAAAAAAAGAAGTGATGGGCTTTTCCAAGTACTCGAGAACAGTGGACTGACTGTGTCACCAGAGGAGGCATTAGAATTCAGGGTGGTTATTTGGGGATGGAGACCAGGCCCACAGGTCTTGACCAAGGAGATTTCACAGCTCAGACTGTCCAGGGATGACAGAGGGCTCCATGACTGCCAGACATATCTTGGGGAGGTGGGGGAAATTCTAGAAATGGCCTAGATCAAACTTTATTGTGCATATGACTCACTCCATCTTGTCAATATGCAAATGTCGAGTTTCGAGTGGGGCCGGAGATTCTGCTCTTCTAACCAACTCTCAGTGGATGGCCAGATTCTTGGCTCGAGGACAACACATTAAGTATGGAGGACCTAGATTCCAGACCTCCTCCCCGGCTCCAGAAGCCACGGAGAGAGTTTTCTCCCCTACATTTTTGCTCCCGAGAGTGGCTGGGTGAGGCTTCAGTTGTTCTCTACGCTATAAAGGATCCTGAGATAATCTAGCGATGCAGACCAGGTGGTCGGCTCGTCCTGGTCCTCCCAGAACTTCCCAGGTTTCAAGCACTGTAAGTTCCCGGTCCTGGGACCCTAAACCTGCTTATATGGATACGCAGTCTGTGGTCCGTTCAGAAAGAGAAGTTACATGCCCCGAAAAAGAAAACTACCCATTTCATTATAATGAAAGCAAGTTGAACAACTTCAATAGGCAGTTTAGGGAAAGCCAAACACATTCAAGTGAAGCTTTCCGAAGTCCCTAATGTTTTCTAGATCAGTTACCACTACCTCCCTATGTTAGTGTGAGAAGTCGCTACCTTTAAAGGAGTATTTTAATAAGGAGGTAAGTGAGCAATTAAAAGTTACTGGGAGGAGGCCACAATGAATTCAGGGACTCCTTTGGATTGTGTTGAGCTTTCATGTGAGGCTTCGGTGAGGAAGGGGTTGGGAGTAATATTAATAGCAACTAATATTTATTTAGTGCTTACAACATGGCCAGGCACAGTTCTAAGGCTTTATATGCATTAATTCATTTAATCCTCAAATCAGTCCCATTAGGTAAATTTATCACCCCCATTTAACAGAGGAGTAAACTGAGAGTAAAAGGATTAAGAAACTTGCTCCATATCACACTCCTGATAAATGGCAGAGTTGGAATTTGGACCTAGAGTCTATGCTCTTAATTAAGCACATGTTCTCCTGCCTCTTGGGTAGGTTTGCCTAAAAAAAATACAGAATGTTTAGTTAACTTTGAATTTCAGATAAAAACAATTTTTTAGTATAAGTACGTCCCGAATAATTCAAATTTAATTAGGCATCCTGCATTTCTATTTGTTAAATTTGGCAACCATATTTTAGGATTAAGTATGGATTAAAATGAGATCCACGTTAATTGAAGTGAAAGCACAGATTTGAGAACCAAAATGCCTGCGTTTGAATTCAATTCTACTTACTAGTTGTCCAGTGTTGGGTAAGTCACTTCTCAGATCATCGGTGCAATGGAGGTAATAATAGTACACGCCTCGTGGTATTGTTGTGACCATTAAGTGAGCAAATATAAATGAAGCTCTTAGCACATCCTTTGTACCGGACCCTGTTGTGTTACTCACAGTTTTGAGTCAGAAATCAGCTACACTGAAGCTCAGTTTTCATGGAGGGCATCTTCTTATAAGCATTTTTGCACATTGTAATCACATATTTATGTTCTTAGTGGTTGGTATACCTAATAGAATGTACCCAAAGCTTAATCATTCAGGTCAGTTCAAGTTTTGCCAATAATTGTAGATATCTTTGTCTTTTTCCTTCTGATAGTCTTCAAATTGAGATTAGGGAAAAAGCTACAAAGATGAAGTTCCTATCTGATATCAAATTGCTTCCTACAGAGAAATTGTGGAAACCTCATCATTTACAAACTTATTAGGGTATTATTATGTTTCAGTCTAGCTTTGTTTAGGTTTTATTTAGTTTTTTTCTAAAGAGACTTCTCTTCTGCATTTGTATCGAGACCGGCAGGATGCAAATGAGGTAGGCAAAAAGATCTCATTCAAGCACAAAATGTGACTTTCAGATGAAATGGGCCGGCTTGTGTTCTGGGGAACAGGCAGTATTCTTGGGCGGTATTCTTACCAAGCGCTGCGGCGGTGCAATGTGCAATCATAAACCCAGAGTTCAGACCACCTTCCGCCACCAGGAAGGGAGGCAGCTCGCTGAGAGAGGGGTTACAGAGCCTTTCAATTCTTCTTTCACTAATTGAAGCAAGTTCATGGACTCCAATGGCCAAATAGTCTAGGGCCTAGAAAGAGTATTTCAATTCAGTTGGCTTAATTTGGAATATGCTTTCAGGGTCAGGAACAATTCTAAAAAGCTTACTTTGGCTGGGTATTCACCATGGAAGTTTCCTCCAGAAATAGTCTCTCCCCTGCTGGCAAAAACCATCTTGCAAAACAGGTTAAGGCTAATTTTTAACACCTGTAGCCCTTGTACAAATACGGGAGGAGGGAAGGAGAGTCTACACGTTGTTGACATAAAGGGACACAAAAACAAAAACAACAAAACAAATACCCAAAACCTTAAAGATGAATCATGTACACCTAACTGGGGGCCAAGGAAACATGGAACATGAAATTTTTTTTCTGAAATTAGAGATTCTCAAACACCATAACTATCATAGTCTAGTGGTTAGTACTTTCCCTCAAAAAGTTTGTATCTGAAACTAAGAACAGAGACCAGAACACCAGTTCTATTTCTTCAGGGGGCAATGTGAGCTTGTGCTTGGTAGAAGAATTTGCTGAGTGGAAGACTCTGCTGATGAGCAACCACCAAATTGTCTGGAACAATCAACTCTGGGAAGATTTTCAAGCTCTCTACTCAGTGATCCTGCAGCAGCATTCATAGCAAATGGCGGCCAATAGGCTGTTGCAAACCCATCTAAGTAGGAGGAACTTAGACTCACTGCATATTAATGCCCTCAAGGATCATTCCATTCTATCAGGCACTTCACTTAGAACAACAGGCACCCAGACAAAGGCGGTAACAGACCCGTTTTAAAGATTCCAGAGGGCTGATTTATACCTACTGGACTAAAGAATATTTATTATCTATCAGCTAGGAACTCACTCTGTGAGAAAGGTTCTGACTTCCAAAGAGCTAGAGATGCTCTTTGGAATGTAATGTATTACATTAACTTCATCAAATTGGGAGTTACCCTTTTCGGTACATATAACCATGAGCCTATTAGGCCCAGCGCTGGCTCGTCTCCACTAACCCACCCCCAGACACAGGCCCTAGTTTCCTCTCCATTCTCTGTAATCCTTATAGCAAGTAACCTCTGCACCTACTTAGAACTTAAGCATGTTCAGTTCTCCAGCTGTTCCAAATTTGTTTGTTGGCTATCAGATTATAATAATTAGAATTTAGCTTCCATAACATTTAGCAACTGTGTGATAGGTACTTTATATCTACAATAGAAAAATTGAGAAGAATATTCTTTCAACTAACACCAGTATTGCAGGAGAACTCCCAACTATTACCTTATTGGAAATTCATCAATAATTAATCTTTAATTGAGAAAGGAAAGTACTTTTGGCTGAAATTTTTGCTGGGGCAAGTGGTGGGAGAAGAATGTAGTGAGGAATTATCCTTCTCCCATATCCACTAATTTAATGGATTTTTACTTTATATATATATACTCTTTGTTTTTACTATATAAGATACCCTTTCAAGTCTAAATTATGGAGGCACCTGGGTGGCTCAGTTGGTTAAGCATCTGCCTTCAGCTCAGGTTATGATCTCAGGGTCCTGGGATCAAGTCCTGTATCCCGCTTGCTGCTCAGTGGGGAGTCTGCTTCTCCCTCTCCCTCTGCCCCTCTCTCCTGCTCATGCTCTCTCACGCTCTCAGTCGCTCTCTCAAATAAAAAAAAAAGTCTAAATTATGTAAGTGTAGGATGGGTATCTCTCCTTTACAAGAACTGATAGATGAGGCAAGACTTACATAGACTTCATGAAAGCGCTACTCCATTGTGGGGGGGGAGGGGTGGAGTGGTGTTGGGGTGAGTGAGTTGAGAATTATTTAATGTGGGTCTGACTTAACTGTAAAATAACCTGACACTGAGGACATAAAACATATATCCTGAAGTAAGCTTGTCAGAGAAACCACACTGGATAAATCTTACACAGCTGCTGTGAAACCTGTCTGCTAACCTCAGCTAGGAATGGCTTCCAGGGTTGTTAACTCAGCACTTTCTTTTTTTTTAAATTTTTTTTAAAGATTTTATTTATGTATTTGACAGAGAGAGACACAGTGAGAGAGGGAACACAAGCAGGGGGAGTGGGAGAGGGAGAAGCAGGCTTCCCGCTGAGCGGGGAGCCCGATATGGGGCTCGATCCCAGGACCCTGGGATCATGACCCAAGCCGAAGGCAGACGCTTAACGACTAAGCCACCCAGGTGCCCCTACTCAGCACTTTCTCCAGTGTTAAGAACTGAGGCAGATGTGGGATAGGAAAAATATATTCCTATGGGCTTGGGTGGTCTTCAAAGGCAGTATCGAGTATCTCTGTGAAGACTTTGCCAGTGTGACTCGTGACTGATCACATTGACATCTGTAGGGAACTATACCATCAAAGAACATTCCAAAGCAGAAATAAGATGGCTCTGCGATACCCACACCATGAAGGAAAGAAGGGCTCCATCTTTGAGAAATGGAAGCATTCTTACTATTCTTTGTAAAATTTGGAAACACTGATTGAAACACCATGTCAAAAATAAAAACTTGAGATGAGGAAAGCCATAACTCTTTGAGCAATACTTCGGTAAGTGTTAACAAGTTGCCTTCTGTTTACTGTGTCACTAGAACCAAGAAGGCTTGCATCAATGCCAACCTGCCCAGGGTCCCCACAATCACACATGTGACCTATGTCTTTATCCTCTGTCAGCAATCTCAGCAGCAAACGTCTTCATGAACCCTCTCTGCCAATGCTGGAAATAGGTCCTTTAGCCTTTAATGGGTCCATTTGGAAAGCACAGCATGTTAGACTCTGAAGTGAAATTAGGTGCACAGACCCGCCTCTGTCACTTACCAGCTCTGATCTAGAGAAAGTCACTTAACCTCTGAACCTTAGGTACTTAGTCAATGAAATGGAGTGACAGAACAGAGATGCTACACAAGATGATCACTTCAGCAGATCTAAAATTATCAGCTGGAATTCTACAATTACAGTTTAGTAAGAAGCAGTCAAAAGATACAGGATTATCGGTTGCACTATTAAGTTCTGTGGTAATGATGTTCTTCACAAACGCTATGGTGTCGTTCACCACACCATGGACCTACAATACAAGATTAAATGAGTGAGTACACTGAAAACACTGATAATGGTGTCTGTCACACAGAGTCTGATATTCATATTAGAATAGCAAGGAAGCAAGTTTTAAACCTGGGACTTAGTTGTGCTATAGGGCTAATTTAGCAATTCTTTCCCATAGATGTTTTTGATCAACTAGCTAGAATGGAACTTGCTGAGTCAAAGGAAATGAAGGCGTTTACTCTAGGAAGGATTCTTGATTACACTCTGGACTAGAATCTGGCACAAAATGAAATATTGTTTCATTCTTGAGAAGTACATTAATCTTTCATCCAACTAACTGCCACACACAAACGAGCTATAACCTCTGCAATGCTGAATACCTCATGCCAACTCCGGTCTGCTGCATTTTTTTTTAATCCGGAGTTAAGCCTCACAGATTTATTTGTGATGGTTTATGTCTGCTTATTAAATGCAGATAAGGTACAACAATGATGTGCACTTGAATTATGATTCGCCTTTCCTGTGACCATCTCTGTCAGGCTGGTTCTTGTGGAATCTAAAAGAGAGAACCAGTAAAATTCCACTAACTGATTAGGATGATGCGATTACTAAGAATTTTTTAAAAGCTACAGCAGTAAACCAACACAGCAAGTTGTCTCTTGTGCTTCTGTACAAAAGAACTGAGCAAAGCAATTCAAAAAGAAACAAACAGCTTATCATAGAGAATAGAAACTCTACAATGACAGGACAAATGGAAGTATGATATGCTTAATTTTTAAAAGAGGCAGTAAAGACATTTGGATTGTAACTGACCATTACATGACTTTTTATTTTTTTATTTTTTATTATTTTTTTTACATGACTGTTTAACACTTTCCTCTTTTTCTATTTCCGCCCTGAATTGGAAAATAAAAAGATTTTTTAAATTTGTTTACCTGTGGACAGCAGCGCAAAGTGTATGCATCCTGAACACGATCACAGAACCTGTGACTTTCTGTGCAAGGGGATGGCAAGGGACACGTGATCAATTTTTCCACAAAACACAACACCAAATGAGCTCACTCACATAAACATGCCCAGACCTGCTATTTCAGATGGGTGGTGATCTGAGTCCAAGAGTGACCGAAACCGAAAAGCAACTTCAATTTGCCCACGGTGAGGGCGGACTGCGTGAATGTCTAGAATTGATGAAGGAGGAGAAGTATGAGCAATTCTCATATTAGAATGAACTACCATTGATGGTTCAGGATTATCCACGTTGCTGACACAAGCCCTCAAAAGTCCCAGAGGTTCCTACCAGCACTCAGTTAGAAACTTAACTCCAAAAGCAAGATTTTCCTCATCAACCTCATTTTTTCTACTTTAAATATCCAAGTGCAAACTATGTGTTGAGCCCACTGGGAATTCAACTCAAGACCCTGGGTGTACTCTAAAAAGATTTAGGCTCATAATGGAAGGGACCTCCACAGTGGCCAGTTTTTGACAGTTTTCAATCATTTTTAGACAGTTTTTCTGTCCTACATATAATGGTAGGGAGTCTTTCAAATTCACCACTTTCCAAGTAAGCTACAACTTCTATAGTTTTTCCCTCCCAATTTTCTAATGGGGACCAACTTTAATCCTACTCTAGGTCTAAAACCCTGTGAACAGATTCCTAAGACAGTTCACAGTTGGATGGGAGTCAGACCTGGGTGATCCAGAATTCTGGGTGAACTCCAGAGTCAGCATCCGTCCGTAAAATGTCATTTCAAGATCAAATGTGGCATCACTTAGAGGAAGCTGTAGCAATATTGTGTATGCCATAGGCATTTGGGCATTTCCTTTTTCCCCTACCGTCCACCCCCACCACTCTCATGTCTAAAGACCTGGACCAGTCCACCCAACCAGCTCTGGTTGACTGAATAGCAAGCCGGTGGAAGTGCCATGCTGACCAGTATCGAAGGCTTTGGTGGTGCCCTTCAGCACCTCAAGGGTCAAGGCCGCCACGATGTCTGCCTGGCGCGCAATAGCACTGGCTCGCTCCACGGCTTCACAGCCCAGGGAGGTGATCATCTGTGTCCCGTTGATGAGCGCCAGGCCCTTTGGAAAGGAAGAGATAAGTCCTTTGCTGTATTTATTGTAATCCATGTACAAGCTGATTTCATATCTTTTGCTTCCATAAGAGAAGACTTAACCAGTCAGCTGAATGACATTTATTTATGTTTTCTAAGGTGCAGGGCAGGAATGCTTAGTAAGCATTGGAAGATTAAGTGCCATCCTGTGTGAAATGGTTAGTATAAACCTGGCGAGTGAAATGCCTGTTCCGTATCCCCATTCTCAAGGCAGCAACGAACCTCCAGTGTAGACTGCATATAAAATCTTTAGCTCCTAATTATGCTGCTTTTCTTTAACTGGTCAACATTATGGACAAGACAGCTTAAGACATTTCTGGTCCAAGACTTGGTTGAGAGCGCCCTGAGGGATTTTGACCTACAGCATCTGTTAGGGATCCTTAGGGATCCCAATTTGAAGTTTAAGTTCTTAGGTAAGAGAACCCATAAGCCTCTGTGTCATGAAGAATCTTTTGAATGCTCGTGGAGGAGTCCTTTCTTCAGTGACAAACTTTTAACAAACATGAAAACCACATTTAAGAAACCCGCGAGACAGATATTAAGACTGAAAATAGTCTATACATAAAGACTTGTAAAAATGAGTAAATTTTCCTCGAATCTCTTTACCTCTTTCGGTTTCAAAACAACTGGTTTCAATCCATGAGCTTCCAGGACCTGCAGAATGATTAAAAAGATAAAAATGGGTACCCAGTGAAATGCTAACCTATTTCTGATTTCATAAGGAATCGATAAAATATCCTTAAGCCTAAAGATCTGTCTCATAAAAGGTTGGACCTACGTGAATTGATTCTGTTCATCTACTCTGGTCTATGCTCTAGTTCTGTTCTTTAGTCTGAAAGCAGATTTCTATTTCACCTATTTTTTATACTTAAATCAGGGGCTTAGTGTCTACAGAAGCAACCCTGAATTTTGGTTTCTAGGTCCTTTGTATTCAGCTTCCATCTTAGTGACTCACTTTTTTCCTGCTGCTTCCTGAGCACATATGAGCACCTATACTGTGCTGAGGCTGAGTTCCCGACTGTCCTCAATTCTCTGCCTCCAGAGCTTGACCAGAAAGTCCTCCACCCTCATCCTTCTTAACTAAACACTGACAGAAATAAAAGAAGTGAAACAGTCACTATGCTAAAAACCCTCTAGGGAAGAAGGAAGACAGAGTCAGCACCATTCGCTTTGTTCATTTCACAAGTTAATTGGAGTACTTGCTACACACCAGACTCTTCTGGGCGTTGGCCTGGGGTTGGCCTAGGAAAACTGAGACAGACTAGCTCAGGGGCAATTACAGAGTAAAAGGATGTCAAGTGCTCTAGGAAGTAGGAAGTGAGTGGGGTTTGCTGGAAAATGAGCACGTAAGATGCTAGAAGAGCACAAAGGAGGGGCTAAAGACATTTGGAGGGTAGGCAAAAGAACCAGAGGAGCAGAGGGGGAAGCTTCTCCGAGGACTTCTCAGAAGGAGGAGCAGGAGTGAGTGGGGAAGAGAAGAATGAGCATGTGCTGGCCCCTCTGTCCCTGACACAGCACATTCCAGCTGTAAGGAACCTCCAGTTCCTGTAGAACCAAGGAGGAGGGATTCGACCAACAAGACTCTTATAAACCACACTAAGTTTAGACTTAATTCTAAGGACAATGGGAAGCATTACAGGCTTTAGCCAAGGACATGCTGGAATTTGCTGTGTGAAGGGGGCTGGGCAAACACTGTACACAGAGAAATAAAGATCAGGCCGTAGAGAACAAAGGTGATCTGGAACCTATATTCCCCTAAGGGTGATCTGTTCCCTTAACTTCTTTCTCCCCCTTGGTCCTCTGCCCCTTCGCTGAGGGACCTCTCAGCAATTGACCTGAGATAACACTTCAAATAATTCTTTGCGCTGCTCTGATAGAATCTGGATATGGATGAGGAAAACATTAAAGCTTTATCAAAAACAAGCCCTTCTGCTTTGCCATTGGGGTAGGAGCTTGGGGGAAAATGGAACCAGCTCTCCAGAGGCCATATAGTAAGTGCTATGATCCATGGCTCTGCACCGTGAGACCAGCAACTCAATAAATTCACAACAGTGTGTGACCGACCTCCTGGAGAGGCACTGGAAGAGCCTCTTAGTTTTACAACTCCTTAAATTCCCAGCAGTGTGTGACCTTCTGGATAGGTACTAGAAGAGTTTTAGTTGCAGAATAAATTGCTGGGATTAACAACCGGCCACTGTACCTTTTCACCAAGGTGACCACCAAGTCCAGAAGCCTGACGGTAAAGTATGGGAGCTAAGAGCCTTACCCAGTTTGACTTGTAAGCTTCAGTATTCATCTATAAAACAGGGATAACGGCGGCTCCCTCATGGGGCTGCCGTAAGGATTCGGTGCTATAAAGCATGCATGTGCAGCCGGCATCCAGCCTAGGGAAATTTCTGCACACAGAAGTTGTTATTAAAGTCTTACATATTTCGCATCAGCCCAGCCACTCTTTGGAGACCACATCTTCCCTTCTCCAATGAGCCCAAGAGCAAGATGAGAGAGTGGGGCAAGGTCCCCACTGGCGCCAACGGTTCCTTTCTCTGGAACGTAGGGCAGGCAGGAGGCTGGGAGAGAAGGAGGCACCTGTTACTTCTGGCTATCTTCATTTTGCCCGTGAGACCAGCCTCCCCCAGCAAGAGCTAGTATCACTCTATGGCACAAATACCCAGGGAAAGACAATTTCCCAAGCACAACTAATGCTTAAGGGAACTGGCTGAGCTGTTATTTAAAAAAAGGCAGAGGGGAATAAGGTGTATGGGGGGGTGGGCAGGAAGGGACACCCTCCCAGTAGCAAAAAGCCATCTCTTGTGAGCCACTTGAAGTTTCGACTGTAAAGACCTGTACTCTGAAAACCATAAAACACTGATGAAAGAAACTGAAGCCAACACAAAAAATTGGTATATTTTGTGCTCATGGAGTGGAAGAACTAATATTGTTAAAATGTCCACACTACTCAAAGCCATCTACAGTTTCAGTGCAATCCCTATCAAAATACCAATGGCATATTTCACAAAACTAAAACAAAGAATCCTAAAATGTGTATGGAACCACAAAAAATCCCAAATGGTCAAAGCAACCTTGAGAAAAAAGAACAAAGCTGAAGGTATCACAATCTCAGAATTCAAAATACACCACAAAGGTGTAGTGATCAAAACAGTATGATACTAACATAGAAACAGACACACAGATCAATAGAACAGAATAGACAGCCCAGAAATAAATCTATGCCTATATGGTCAATAAATCTATGACAAAGGAGGTAAGAATATACAATGGGGAAGACAGTCTTGCAATAAACGGTGCTGGGAAAAGTAGACCACTTTCTCACACCATACACAAAAATTACCTCAAAATGGACTAAGGACCTAAATGTGAGACCTGAAACCATAAAACTCCTAGAAGAAAACATAGGCAGTAATTACTGATATTGGCCTTAGCAACATTTTTCTAGATATGGATCCTCAGGCAAGGGAAACAAAAGCAAAAATGAAGTATTGGGACTATACCAAAATAAAATGTTTTACACAACGAAGGAAATCATCAACAAAATGAAAAGACAACTTACTGAATGGGAGAAGATGTTTGCAAATGATATGTCTGATAAGGGGTCAATATCCAAAATACATCAAGAACTTATAGAACTCAACACCAGAAAAACCAAATAATCCAATTAAAAAATGGGCAGAGGACCTGAATAGACATTTTTTCAAAGAAGACATACAGATGGCCAACAGACACATAAAAAGATGCTCAGCATTACTCATCATCAGGGAAATGCAAATCAAAACCAGAATGAGATATCACCTTACACCTGGCAGAATGGCTAAAATAAAAAACTCAAGAAAAAACAAGTGTTGGTGAGGAAGTGGAGAAAGGGGAACCCTTGTGCACTGTCGGTGGGAATGCAAATTAGTGCAGCCACTGTGGAAAACAGTATGCAATCTCAAAAGATTAAAAATAGAGATAGCATATGATCCAGTAATTCCACTACTGGGTCCAAAGAAAATGAAAACACTAATTTGAAAAGATATATACCACCACTATGTTTACTATAGCATTATTTACAAGAGCCTAGATATGAAAGCAACCCAACGACTGCCTTCGGCTCAGGTCAGGATCCTGGAGTCCCGGGATCGAGTCCCACATCGGGCTCCCTGCTCGGCGAGGAGCCTGCTTCTCCCTCTGACCCTCCCCCCTCTCATGTGCTCTCTCTGTCTCTGTCTCTCACTCTCTCAAAATAAATGAATAAATCTTAAAAAAAAAAAAAATGAAAGCAACCCAAGCATCCATTGATAGATGAATGGATAAGGAATAGGTGTTGTGTACACACACACACACACACACACACACACACACACACACACACACACTGAAATATTACTCAGCTATAACAAACAATGAGATCTTGCCATTTGTGACAACATGAATGGACCCAGTGGGTATTGCGCTAAATAAAATAAGTCAGAGATAAATACCAGGCGATTTCATTTATATGTGGAATCTAAAATAAAACAAAACAAAAAAACAAAGACTCATAAATATAGAGAATAAGTTGATGGTTGACAGAGGTGGGGGCACTGGGCAAAATGGGTGAAGGGGACTGGGAGGAGTCCAGGCTTCCATTTATGGAATGAATGTCATGAGGATGAAAGGTACATCATAGGAATTTTTTTTTTTTAAGTTTAGACTCTGTCCTAAGGATAATGGAAAGCATTACAGATTTTAGCCAGGACATAACTCAGATTTGCTGTGTGAAGGTTGTTGGGGGAACACTGTACATAGAAAAAATCCAGATCAGGCTGTATGGAAAAAGGTGATTTGAAACCCACATCCCCATAAGGATTATCTATTCCTTTAACTTTTTACTCCTCCTTGGTCCTCTACCCCTCTGCATTTACTATGCATGTTCTAATCAGACCTAGACATTTTTAGAAATTGTAATAATGTATCTTAAAGATCAGGAACTAGCTGTTGTTCATTACAGTCTTGTTCCTAAAAACAAGTTAGAAATGATCTAAATATGGAATTAAGAGACTTCCATTTGGCCAAAGAGTGTGTGTAGCCATTAAAAGCTATTTGGGGGAAAAAAAAAAGCTATTGGAGAATGTTTGGAAACATGTAAATATTTACATCAGAAAAGTAATATAAAATGTTCTAGAAGGATAAGGCACACCAAAGTATTCACAGGGGTTCTCTGAGGAGGTAATTATAGGCAACATAGTCTCTTTTTCTTTTTTTGCCCAGATTCCTAGGCACCTAGGCACCTAGCCTGCTACCTCACGACCACTTATAAACAGACATGTACTGTTTTGAAAGAAATTCTGTTACAAAAAAAAAAAAAGTCCCCTATTTTCTAAAGTAAAGTCAGTCTCCTAATAGCAGTGTGTTTTCCAACTGCTAAATAATGTCGGTAGGATAAAGCAGTGCCATCAACAGGCCAGCTTCCAGATCATAGTTCACCCTAGGAATTCTCAGAACTCTGGGTACCCAGAGGTGCCCTATATTCCTATATACGTTCACCCCAAAGAGTTTCCTGAGCCTGCACTGATCTATACTGTTCATCCTTATCTGTGAGAAGGGATAGTGGCCTCCCAAGCATTTCAAATCTTGTCTCCATGTTGGACTTTTTCTATCCTGAGAAGTAAGCTCTGAAGAGCTGAACTGCATTGTGTCCTGGCATGAGATGGCTTCCTGGTCCAGAAGCAAATCCTTGACCTCTTTACATTTCTGTTCTATCTTTGCAAGAAGTTAAATTTCAGTTATTTAAGTCTGGTTATCCCAACATCTGGGGAGCATTAAGATTTCAGATTCCTAGGCACTAACCAGAACTACTGAAATGGTCTTTGGGATGGACATCCAAGAATCATGGTGTTTCCCAGATGATTTGATGCAACTTCTCTAACCACATCTGGCATCACTGAATTAAAGGTTCTCTCCAGCTTTGAGCTCAGGGACAGACTTGAGGGGTTTGTTCCAGACTTAAAGATGCCAAACACTAGGTGAAGGGTGACGAAGAATGAGTTGGAGATATACAGGAGTAAGCATCTCTGTCCCCACCCTCACCCCCTCACCGCCTCCAAGCCCATTTCCATTCATCTCCTTTATTTTATGTCATCTTGTCTCTGCTAGTTCTTCACTATGCCATCAACCAACCAAGTCTACCTGTGGCACATGCCCAGCCTCAGTGGAGGGTCAGCCTGGGGACCCATGGCATTACCATTAAATACTTCGATAACTTGCTTGAGGGTCTCCAGGGAAATGCCACTGTATCCTTTGGCTAAGACATTGATCCTTAAAGCCAAGAGCATCCGACATCTCTCAGGGATTAGTGGTTTCCCAACACCTGCAAAACAGAATTGATGTTTTTCTCTTAGAAAATCAGTCTTTTCTACCTCCATCTCCCAAATCTTTCTCCAGTTCCGTCCAGTCTCCTACCACCTTTCTCTTCTTAACTCAGATATTTGGACTGCTCTCCTTCCTGATTGTTCTGCTTCTTAAAGTCCCATCTTCTAGAAAAATGGGAAACCCCAGTTTTGCCTTTTCAGTTCCTCCTAGAATGCTTCAGTGAGCCCCACCTTCCCCAAGACCCTCAGAATAGCACCCAGCCTGGATTCTTGACAGACTTTCCCATCTCACCTCATCCTGATGAACACATTCCCTAAGTTCACATTCACTTAACTTCGTTCCCTGAATGCACCATTCTGTTGGCATGGCAATATACATGCTCCTGCCCCAAGCCCATCCCTCCACTTGGCCCATTCCTTTTCTGAGATTCAGCTGAAAAGTGGTCTTGTTTGATTTCTGCTTTCCTTCCCCACCTGAGGCAGAACTGGTACTAGTTTTTAGAAGGCACTAGCTATTCACGGCTGTTACAGGGTGCCTCACACTGTGCCGTAGTTTATTCACCAAACCAAACAAGATCTAGAAGTCATTTAATGTTTGAAATGATTTACCTGAAGAATGTGAACGTACTAAGTTGACCTGGAGCTCTCTGGAAGAGAAAGGGAAAACCCCTCTTAGGTACCTCCCAGTGAAAGTTTCCCTTCAGCTGGGGAAATGAAGGGGAGAACAGGTGAATCTTTGGTGGGACAGAATAAGGCAGTGTGATGCGACGGAAGAAACCAGCAAGCCTGTGTTTTCAATGCCAACTCATATGCAAGTGAACAGGAGCTTTATCCTCCTCATTTGGAAACTGGGGCAAATGTTAATTATTTCTCTTGTTGAAAGATGGGTCAGGTGGCATATGAATGTGTGCTGAGGAGGGGGGAATCAGACTTACTCTAGCTTATTGACAGGAATTACAGTTCTGGCAAATTTCCCAAAACCTGTAGTTATACCATAAACAACTAGAACAAAAAAACAAAACAAAAACAAACATGGTACCATTAGATGCAGGCCGCTTTTTAAAAGTCAATAAAAAGAACTGTATGACATAAAGAGAAAAGGATACCAGTTTTTTCTTTCACGATGCTATCTATGACTTCCCTGGATTTTTGCACCTTCTTTTCAGCAGTTGGGGTGAGCTAGGAAAACGGTCAAAGCTGAGCCCGTTGAAGACTCCCATATGCAGTGAAAAAGATCAGAGGACATCCTTCCCCACCCTCCCCCGTACCTTTATTTTGTAGCGTCCTTTCCCCAAGTTGACCAGATCCTCTGTGGTCAGACTTTCCCCATCTAAGGCAATGTACTGCACAAAAGAAGGGGACCCCGGTGAGCTTGAGCAGCTTGGCTGCTCCACCAACAGCATAGGGAAGCCTCAAGCAGAATTGAATTTTGACACTCAAGAGATTTTATCCCTGCTCTGAAACATTAATGTGCTAGTGAAAAAGACAGCTTGCTCAAGAGGAGGCAGAGTAAAGAAAGCTAGAAATGAACATAATGCCTTTTCCTAACTCCATAGAGCAGGATAAAGCCCTGTCCTAACTGATACATGTTCGCTCATAAATTCTCCTGGCCTTACCCCTCCTGAAACAAGGGGAACTTAATTTTCTTTACAAAAAGAGTGTTGGCTTGAAGCTTACCTTTTCAGGCTCCCGGTATTTGCTGTATCTGAAGCCAGGTAAAGGAAAACCCTGGGAAGTGTGAGAACGCCCCAGCCCGGTCCCCGGCAGAAGTAGCCCCCAGAGCAGACCATCCGGCCTGCAGGAAAGGATACAGGTAAACTCCTTCTGGTTGTGATGGAATGAAGTCAGGAGACATGGCATCGCCCTCTATAACTGAAACGAGAATACCAGAGAGGCTCCTTTACGGATCACAAGGGAGAGTCACGTTCGGCATTTCTGGTAAGCCAAGAAAGGGCTCTTCCACTGCCTCTCACTTCTACAGAAATGGCTGCTTTAAGACGACCTCAAGGGTTTTCAAGTGCTCTTAGCTTCTTTGCGAAGGAGGAGAGCAAAAGGCAGAGACGCAGGTGTCAGGTGTGGGCAGGGGTTTAAACGGAAGTTCAAGATCTAACCCCCTCCCTGACCCCCACCCCCATCCCCAGCTTTATTTTGTTTTCAATCCGAACCCCTTAGGTCTATTCCACTGGACTCCAGTCCGCGGAGGTGCTTCTGAAGGGCAGAAGGATCTTCAAAACGATGCTGGGATGGCAAAGGGATTCAGACAGGCAGTCTTGGGCTCGAATGTAGCCTTTGCGGCTTACTAGGGGCATGATTCTAGGAAGTCAGTTCGTTTCTGGGTCCGTGGCCTTGCTGTAACCGGGGATGGGAAGCCTCCCCTCTCCCAGGTGCGTGCTCACGCACAGCCAGCCCCACCTTCCCCGGGACGGCCAGGGCCGCCGAGCCTCCTTCCTGGGCATGCCTGGACGTGGCCACTCACCCACTTCCACGAACTCGTTGTCCTCCAGGGCCACCTCCAGCAGGTCCTCATGGTCCAGCAGGCCCAGGCCCTTGCACCGGCGCACGAGGAAGCACACGTCGTCCACTGAGGCGAAGCCCCCGTTGTCTGGCTTATTCTTGATGTACCTCCTGACGGCCTCGCGGCCCAGCCAGCCAATGGTGAGCTGCGCGTCCCGGCAGGGCACGGCCAGCCATTCTCCGCGCACGTGCACCGTGTACCTGGGCATGGCTCCCTGTCCCGAGGAGGTCCCGACACAGGCTCCTGTGTTCGTTCGTGGCAGCCGCCGGGCTCTGGAGAGTTTTATCTGGGAGTGACTACTGAGGTGTGGCCGGCCAGAAAAAACACGCCCCCTCTCTTGCCTTTACTCATCCACACATTGGACAAATATTTATTGAGGGCCAGACGGTGTCCCTTTGGGTTTTCACAACCCAGCTCGGGGCAGGAGAGGGGGGTGCAGGCAGGCTGCTTGGTGAAGCCCCACTCACACAAGGCCTGGCTTCTCCCGTGCTGGGGGTCCCAGTGCTTGCTGTCACTTGCTGGGGCCTCTCCTTCAGGGTCCCCGATTTCTCTCCCCTGGCTTCTGTGTTCTCCTCCACTGAGGGCAGCTTATAAACACCATGTTCCTGTTTTTATCTGGAATTACTCAACTATAAAATACACCTTCTGGTCCACTGTGACACCAGGGAGTGTGGTAATGTTCATTTTTTTGTTTATTCCACAAACAGGCGTTGAGCAACTATTCCCTGCCACCACGAAACTTTTCTAAAGTTGTCCCTCCACAAGGGAGACTGCAAAAGTCAGAGATCATTCTCACAAGGAAAGGTCACCGTCTGGATGGATGAGCTATTGTGGCTTGACGTTAACAGCTCAGACAGCCATAGTTGGGACTCTAGCTCCACCATTCTTTAGCTTTGAGCAAGTAAGTTATTAATTAGCCTCTGTTTCTTCTTCAAAAGGGAGGAGGCAAACTGCCTCACTGCTGTATTTGCAGTATCTACTTGGGATCCAATCCTGGCTCTGCCATTTACAAGCTATGTGACCTCTGGGCAAGTTATTGGACTTTTTGGGGTCTCAGTTTCTTCATCTCTAAGGTGGAGATAATGATAGCGCCTATTTCAAAGGGCTTTAGGGAGGATTAAATGAGTTCCTATATGTAAAGCACATGGTGTGTTGGGAATGTTCCAGAAGTGTTTGTGATTACTATTATTTGCACTCGAACGCTCCGTGTACCTATATGGCTTTCTAAATTTCTTTCATCTTGGTACATGGATATCCCTAATCCAGTTAAGCATCTTCAACACAGTTAACGGCTCCCTGCACCCAATTCATTACCAGTAGATTAAGGAACTCTGAAAAGCATGAAAAAGGAATCAAAGAAATGTGGGCACTGTTGTAACTAAGCAGCATTTTAGTAATAAGCCAGTTTCTAGAGATTTGATTATTGCAACAGAAAGATCTTGACATGTGTTTCCACTGAGACTGACTTGTGTTGGGAATAGAGACACAGTTGTTCACAGAAAACACGAACACCCAGAATCTCTTTCCCTGACAGCTTCTTGAGAAGCATACAAAGAAAGAACTACCCCTCCTTGAAACTTGCACTTCAGTCACCCACATCCTGACTGCACTCTGGAATTTGTCACCACCTGAATTTGATGCACATAAGAAATCTTAAATTCCACTACCCCACCTTCTGACTATGACTTTCCAGCCTTCCGGTTCTCCCCTTCCTTCAGTCTTCTTTCCCTTGGACCTGACCTCTGGTTGGCTCCTCCTTCCCTCCATTTCCCACCAGCTTCCTCACTTTCTCTCCTAGGAAGCTGGTGTCCTGGTTGCTTACCTGGGCCACTCATTCTTTACTACTTTGAAATCCTTTCATAACCCTAAACCTATGCCTGCATGGAGTAAAATTCAACCCCTGGGTCATCACAACCAACTGCTATCTGTGTTCACCCTGGTGGAAGCCTCTGCTGCAGAAGGTTCTGTGATGGTGCACATCATGGCACTGTCCTTCTACCTGCCCCTCCCCCTCAGCAAGTTTCCAAAACACTCACCCTGCTTTTCAACATCCACCTCCTCTAATTTTCAGAGGAGAACCTTACCTCTTACCTCTCTGGGAAAACCAAGGCCCTTAGATGTGAAGCACAACTTTCTCCCCTCCTCCATTCACTCAGCCAACAAATATTTCTCAAACGCCATTGAGATAGTGTTCTATCCCAAGCACTATGCTACATGCTGGGAATAAAATGAGATACATTCTCTGCCTTCATGGTGCTACTCTGGTGATGTTTGCACTTACAAAGAAGACTAATAAGAAGTCCCAAGTATCCACTGTGCTGTGAGAAAACCCAAATCACCTGGGCACTCCAGTTGCCAGTCTCAGCTGAGCCCAGCTTTTGCATAATCTCAGGACAGACATCAGACATGTGAGGGAAGGAGCCTCCAGGTGATACCACCTCCCAGCGACGTGAGTTTGAATATTTCAAGTTCATGCCCTAGGCATTGTGGAGCAGAGACAGCTATTTTCACTGTCCAAATTGATGATCCAAAGATCCCATAAGTGTATGCCTTTACTTCTGTTACTCTTTATCCATCTGGAACACACTGCCAACTTCCTTTGCTTAGCCAAGTATTTCTTATCTCGTAAGCCTCAGTGTAGGCCTTCTCTTCCCCAGGAAACATTCCCTAAACCCTTTGGTTGGGTTAAGTGGCCCTTCCCCAGGTTGCTTTAGCATATCTCTTCTTTAGCCATATATAGAAATTACTTATCTTTGTTCACCCGGAAATTATATGTATATCCCAGCCTGGGACAAAGGCATTCATCACACGCTTAGTAGCTGAAGTGTGTAAATGTGGACTCCACTGAGCTGGCCCCAGGTAAACCTGTGATATGTGTCTCTACTGCCCTCTACCTTCTTCATAGCATCCTTCACCGCCACCCTTCCAGGGGCCCTTGCCCCAGTTCACTTCCCGGTTCACTCATCAGGGATCACAGGAACACGACATTAGCCCAGAGCGCGGGGAGAGCTTATGGGGCAGGGGAAGCCTTCAAAAGCATCATTTGAGTCCGTGGATTTGCTGAAGTTTAATCACTTAGAACCTGATTATATACCAGGGATGTGAGCTGAACTCTCGCCTGTGGTCTTCTCGCCATGGAAGACAAGTGAGAGCAGAACCTTGAGAAACAGAATCACTGTGGTGTAGATGTGTCCAGAAGGAGAGAACTGCTAAGGACAGTGAGCAAGCGAGCAGCTCGGGATTATGGGGATGGACAGGAATCTCTGTTTCTTTGATACCTGCCCCACTTCTGGGGTGTTTGCGCCTATTTTAAGACTTCTAGCTAATGCTAGCACTCTTTTTGTGTATTTAATGACACCCTCACCCACATTTATACTCTAAAACACCATTCTTCTTGCTAAAGTTTATTTGGCCAGGGGTGGACTCAAGCTGAGTCGGAGTCTCACCTCTGGGTATCTAGAATTGAGACAGTCTTCCCGTGTGATAGAAACTATTTACAACAACAGCAAAGCTGGAGAGAAGCAGAAATGAGAGACAAGAAAGAGTATTGCTCGCTTGACAGTTCCAGGTGTCAGCCCTCTTCTGTCTGTCCATAGGTTCTTACAACCTCCCCCTATTCTGTATCCTTTTTTTTTTTTAAGATTTTATTTTATTTGACAGAGAGAGCACAAGCAAAGGGAGAGAAAAGGAGAAGCAGACTCCCTGCTGAGCAAGGAGCCCGATGTGGGACTCGATCCCAGGACCCTGGGATCATGACCCGGGCCGAAGGCAGCCGCTTAACCGACTGAGCCACCCAGGCGTCCCCCCCTACCCTGTATCCTTAAAATAATCCTCCCTTTCCTTTTCTGACTTCTAATCATTTGGGTTTTGTCACTTACAATCAAAGAATCCTAACTAATATGACTGTGGTTCCCAGACTGCGTGCAGAGGTGCCCTGGGGTACTACATTGTACTCATGGGATGCTTTGTTACTCTCTTATTTGGTTCAAGTCATTCTGTTATTTCCAGTATGTATTATATGTGTGTATAATAGGTATTATCATTGTATTATTGCCTCTGATGTGCTGTATGCTCTAGGTGGGTGAAGGATGTTTGGTGACCATTAAGGAGATGAAATCAGGTTAGACAGCAGAGTATCTTGAGGGACTGATGGGACGTACTGGGGTTTGGGGCAGTCATCTGACCCCGATGGACAGGAGGGCAGGACGAGTCCAGTGGAGCAGCAGGTGGATCTGGGGGTGGGGAGCAGAGTGCTTCCCGGAGTGCGTTTATACATTTTGGAAAAGGGCGTTTATACTATGCCCACTATGTGGCTGGGTGAGCAAATCCAACTGAGTGCTCATGTTATTTAAAAAGCAGAGCTCTCATCATGTTGCATTTTTGGCATGCGGCAGATTCAAATTAAAGAACTTAAAATACCAGGCAAATACTACGCTGACACTCTTGAGATTGTGCTGGGAAAAATAAATATGTAACTAATGAAAAATTTTACACTTTTAAAAGATTAAACTTTGTTAAAATGCACTTAACAAAGAATATGGCACCAGCGGGGGGAAGGTAGCTCAGCTTTATTTATGAAAATCACTGACAAAACAATAAAAAGCCAGAATGAAAACAACATTTTTAGTTACAATATGAGCTGAACTTTTTTATATTTCTTCCGTTTAAAAAAGTGAAATGTCTGAAATCAGCATTTGGTAGGTCCTTAATCTAACACTTTTAAGTCTTTCCCCACCAGCATGGCGGTCACCGGGTGCATACTTGCTTTGTGCCCCTGGTAGGTTTGCACGGCTTGATGATGGGATTTGTCAAAGGCAGCAAGGTCTCTGGTGAGGGAAGAAAGATGGATAATGACTGATTTGGTTATGTAATATTTTATTTGGCAAGTATAATTTTATTATACTTGTGAAGTAAATGAAAAGATTAATCACGACTATCTATGTCATGGTTCTATATTTTTCAGAATTCCTGCCAAATCCATAGTCAAAATAACTTCAAGATATTCTTAAATTCTATCCTGCAGCCAAGATACAACTTGTTTCTCCTCTACCAAGTATTGCTTTATTATACATCAAGCAACTTAGCCTTTCAACTCATTGCAGCATTTGAATCAAAAAGGTTTGGCTTTACCGGCTCATTTCTTGTTACCTTTAAATAACTTCAGGCCCTTTTGTGTCTGTGCCTACTCACCAATTATCTCCTACTTGCTTTTAAAGATCTTTCTGGGTACATAAGATTGTTTTCTATTTATTTCCTTCTCACCAGTGTCTAAAACCAATTTGGCCCATAGTAGGTAATCCATATATGATGTTTCTAAAAAAGCTAATGAAATTACTTCAAATTTTAAATATTTAGAAGTGTTCATTCCTATTCCCAAATTATACCTATACTCTTTAACAAATTTAAAAATATTATTTTTAGATGGTGTTTTACAAAGTATTTTAGCAACAGGAAAAACCTAAGATTGTTCTTCTCCATTCCTTTTTTTTTTAAGGGGGGGAGGGGCAGAGGGAGAAGGAGAGAATCCTAAGCTGATTCCGTGCTGAGG